AAAAAAAAAAAAAAAGGCAATCCCTTGGAAAAGGGGGGTGGAGTGAGGGCAAACAGGGCCGGGGCTGACACCCCGAGGGAGCACTGGGAAGGGCCCCGGCAGAAGGGGCGCTCAGCCACCTTCCCGGGCTCACCTTCCTCCGCCCCCGCCACTCCCGGCTCCCCCAACCCCTCCTCTGGAGGCGCGTTTACATGTTTTCTCCCCCGGCAGGAGTGACCGGAGAAACCTGAGCAAGCAAAGGCAGGGGGTGGGTGGGGTTCGGGTTACTACTGTACCTACCAGCTGATTCCAGCAGCCTTTTCTCCAGCGCCCTGTCATCCTGAAGGAAGACACACCGAAAGGGGCCCGAGAGGGCGTGTGTGTGTGTGTGTGCGTGTGTGTGTGTGTGCGTGTGTCTGTGTGTGTGTGAGAGACAGAGAGAGAGAGAGAGGAAGCGCGCAGAATATGTGTGAAATACAAAAGGAAGACTACAGCCAAACTCTTTTCCCACCCGCCACCCCCCTGGTTCCACAACCCCCAGGTTAGAACAAGGAAAAGGCCGTTGCAACAGGCAATGAGAAGAGAGTGTCTGGGTCCACCGCACAGGTCCTCCTGATGAAGCTGCTCTATGCGAAGTTAACTACAGAGTAAAACAAAAATAGTGGAGGAGACAGAAAAGGGCAGACAATTGAAGGAAACCCAACCCCTGTTTCTTTTTACAAAGGGAGAATGGCTGTGTTTTATTGGCCTTAAGCAGAAGTTGTGGGGATGGATTAAAGTCACCCAAAGGGAAAAGAAAAAAAAAACCAAAAACAGTAGGGTTTCTTTTGCACCTTCAAATCGTTGACCAGCAAAGCAAGAGGGTCTTCACTGAGAGGACAATGGGGCCGATGCTAGCTATCCAGGTATTCAATGTCCCTAATAAGCTAATTGGTCCATTTGGAACCCAGGAGCCTCCCATTGGTTTGGAGTCAGCCTGTCTGCCGACCTATCATTGGCTCAGAGACCACCACCCCACTCGCAAGGTGAATGGTAGAGGTAAGGAGGAGAGGAGACTCTAACACGAGGCAAAAGAGAAGAGGAAGGGAAAAGAAGCAAGAAAATGAGAGGAAACAACCCCCACCCCCCACCCCACCCCCACACATAGGCCTCCTATTACCGTGCATGGGAACAAATCCAGAAAATTTAAGGTAGCTCTGGGTGTATCCCATCAGGGAACAAATAGTAATCAGCCAACACCCCTGTTAAACAATGTGCTAGAGAGCACTGAGGTGGAAACCAAGGCAAAAATCACAACCAGGCTATCCTAATGGAAATCCAGGCCTAAGAGAAATAAAAGTTAATGAGTCACAATGAAAGCACAGGCAACAAAAGCAAAAATAGACAAATGGGACTACATAAAACTTAAAAGCATCTGCACAACAAAGGACAGAGTGAAAAGGCAATCTATGAAATGGGAGAAACTATTCCCAAACCATATATCTGATAAGGGATTAATATCCAGAATATATAAATAACTCAAACAACTCAATAACAAAAACAAATAATGCTGTTTAAAAATGGGCAAAGGATTTGAATAGATATTTCTCCAAAGGAGATATACAAATGGCCAACAAGCATATGAAAAGATTTTTAACATCACTAATCATCAGGGAAACGCAAATCAAAACCACAATGAGATTTCACCTCACACCTGCTAGGATGGTCACTATCAAAAAAAAACCTCAGATGGCCGACCCTGTGGCTCACTCGGGAGAGTGCGGCTCTGGGAGCGCAGCGGTGCTCCAGCTGTGGGTTCGGATCCTATATGGGGATGGCCGGCGCGCTCACTGGCTGAGCGCGGTGCGGGCGACACCAAGCCAAGGGTTACGATCCCCTTACCAGTCACAAAAAAAAAAAAAAAAACCCTCAGAAAATAATAAATGTTAATAGGTTGTGGAGAAATCAGAACCCTTCTGCACTGTTGTAAAATGGTGCAGCTGTTATGTAACGGAATGTAAAATGGTGTAGCCAGTATGGAAAACAGTATGGAGGTTCCTGAAAAATTTAAATAGAACTACTATACAATCCAGCAATCTTACTTCTGGGTATATCTCCATAAGAATTAAAAACAGGATCTGTACTAGTCCATTTTTGTGTTGTTATAACAGAATGCCTGAGACTGAGTAATTTACAAAGAAAAGATATTTATTTGGCTCACAATTCTGGGACAGCTGTATCTAGCATGGGCCTCAGACTGCTTCAACTCATGGTGGAAAGTGGCAGGGCAGCCAGCAGATGCAAGATCACTTGGCAGGAGGAAGCAAGAGAGAGAGCAAGGGGAGGTGCCAGCTTCCTTTAAACAACCAGCTCTCCCGGGAAGCTGTAGAGCCAGAACTCACTCACTACCCACCCCCACCCCCCCCCCA